CTTCTACCCGCCTTTTCGAACGAAATACAAGGTTTGCCAGCATAAGTTATGGAAGCTGTATGAAGCAGGTGTTTTTGGTTAGGAATCTGTAGCACAGAGTTCTTATTGTTTATAGAAGCTTGTTTGGACTCTCAAGAGATGATGAATATGGCAGCTGAGGCGACCTGCTCCTACTAGTGAAAGATGAGTTAATGTGACTGACAGATGCTTCCGCAGTTTCTGGAACCGATGGTGAGCGTAGAGCTGATGATTGGAATAACGGGGCTCTGTTGGAGTGTAGGCCATATAGTATTCAAGTAACTAGTTCTGAGAGGATCAAAAGTCAGTAATCTGTAGAGCTGGGACGCTGTTTGTCCTCAGAGATTTGGCACAGTAATCCATAAGTGAGCTGGGATAAATACATAAGGTTCTATAAATCAGGAAAACAGGCATGGCCTACGGGATAATATCATCAACTAGTGTGTCTTCTATATTTTCCTGCTTCTTTTGTTTTCTTATGCACTTTTGAACTTAGTTTCCAAAGCTCAATCATGTTACGAGGATGTGTCTGCTAAGATGCTTGTTAATACGGTCCCATTTTTTGATCAGATTTTTAATAGCCACTGGCTCTCCATGAAGACTGTTCTGATGACGATCAGCATTATTATGAACTTTGAAGCATTGACGAAAATTGCTACCCATCACAAGATATTCAGTCAACCGATGTAAAATGATGCGATTCACTCTAGATTATAAGACGTTTAAGAAAAAGTGCAGTGTGAATGATTGATGAAATCGAATTTCTTAAGTCATAGTTTCCAAATCAACTATTGGATCAAAAGAAGCAAACCTTTGTCCGACACTCGATTTGCAGATCGTTCCTAAGCTAACTTGATTCCTAGAAGCCAAACTGGGTTGGCAAGGGCTGGGTGAAGAAATGAATATTGGCCTTCGATCAGACAGAAAAATTTAGGTTGTTGATCAAATGCTTGCTAAATTAATTTTTTTCAATAATCATCACAGCAGCTATCTGTAGCTTAGTGGTCCAGATTTTATTGCCCTGCTTCTTCCTTTTTCAGAGCCTTGAGTTTGTATTAGACAGGCTCCTGCCACGTCTAGTTGGCCTACCGTCCAGCCAGTCGGAGCCCTCCAACACGCCTTCCAATATCCTCGTCGATGAACCTGTTCCTTTGAAAGAATGTTTGCCTCAACAGTCTCGTATTCCATATTCGCGTCAATTCGGCATCTCTCCCGATCATCCGGAGCCTTCTTGTACCGAATGCCGCCCAGTTACCACTCGGGAGCAACTGTCCCTTTCGTCTTGTTCCTTTCCTCTTCCGCTCAGTATCACCTCAACCCAACTTGGTTTTCAACACCATCTTACGAGACCTTTGATAAGAGCTTTGTCTCTTCTAGGACCCCGGCTTCCTAATATCTTATTCAATAGTAGCCGACCTCTTGGCGTCGGGATTCTCCCTCCTAGCTTCTCTTCTATCAGCTCTACGAAGACATTAGACACTACTTCATGTGCGGCTGGCATCAACTCGACTAATCTCCCCAACGGTAAGGCGATATTCCGAGAGTTATGGATTCGAGCAGCCTTTATGGCACCTTGAGCTGTAATTACTGCTTTTAAGCTGAATGTATTTTCATCGGCCTCACAAGGCCTCTTTTTCAGAAATAGCGAACCTTATTTCTATTTTAACGAGAAGCTGGTGGGATCGTCTATAAAGCAAAGTGGCATTCGCTATTGCAATCGCTACATCCTTGTTTTCGTCTTTAAGAAGTTTTTCGAGACTACCCGTTGATCTTGAATAAGAACCTACTCACAAAAGAGAATAAGTAATACCTTTGATTTTAATAGCAAATACGACCTGGTTTTATTAGCGATCTTACCACAGAAAGTGATATGGGAAAGGCCTGGCCTTCCTTGAAATTCACATCTGCCTTGTGACTCAATGGAACTGATGGCAGTGTGGTGTAGTGGCTAACCTGTCGAAAGTCTACGCTGCACTACCTGGTTTCGAGTCCCGCTTGTAGTGCAGTCTACTCTAAATGAGAGTATATTTTGGGAAGTAAGGCTGTATTAAATTCAATGTTATGGAGAATTCGACTGTCTATCCTTATTCACTTTAAACGAAATATAGTTTTTGAATATAAATTAGCGTAAATGAATATAGCTATTATTCAAGATTTACTGGTCGTTTTTAAAACCCACCTAAAACGAAAATTAGTTTCTATTTTTCTGTTATTTGTCTGATTTAACTATATGTGATTAATATCTCCATTTTGGCTTAAATCTCTAACCTTTTTTAATTGGTTAATCACAGAAATTATTTGGTTCAAGTATACTACTGTTTTGAATCATATCCTAGTATCAGGAATGTGAATTACTTTAATCCTTAATCTCCACTTCCATTTTCGCGCCATCCTATTTCCACAAGGTTGTGCAGGTTATATAAGTTAGATGAGATAGTAATATGATTTCATATTATAATCGCATTTACCTACTAGTCTTAAAAAGGTTTCATATGATTTTTTTCATACTTCTCACATCTAATCTCCTACTACTTCTCATCGTGCTCTATTTATGTAGGAATTAAATATTCTTAATTAGACTGCATTTATTATGAAAATAAATTTCATTTGATCGATGCTACTAGCCGTGCCTTATTGATGCATAACCATTATTGCGTTCTTGTCGAAATTTAATTAACGTTATATTGACTTTTGCTTATTATTAGACTTGATTTTGGATTGAATTTGCTTATTTGTTATAAGGCTCTTAGCCTTAGTTAATTTAATTCTTAGGCATTACTATCGAATAAAAATTATGGCTTAAACTAACGAGTTAATGTTTTATTTTTGCTGCAACTCAATCGCAACCAACTAAGCATGATATCGGCGCTCTGAATCACTCTTGAATCTCTTTGTTGCTCTCATCGCTCCCCCAATTGTCCAAATACTTTTGCGCAATATAACTACTGTCATAAAAATATGTGCGTACAGGTTGTATCGGTGATCGCATCACTCCTAAAATTGTCGGCAGTGTATGCAACTCATTGGACGTTGGATTTTCCTCACCACATACTCTCAGTCGATTCGAGCCTGGTTCAGGTACTCGCTATAAGCCGCGCCGTCGTCGAGCTCAACAACCCAGGTCCAATATGGCTTCTAGCCCCAGCGAAGCCAATGCCACTCCGAATGTTGCTGCAATCGCGTTTGGAGATAGAATACCGATTAATTACTCTTCACAAGTGCCGTCTGCCGATCCAACATCCTTCAGCTCTAAAAAAGAAGTCCTAACGCTCCAAAGCAAACTTTGGGCCCTAGATGAGCGAAGAGCCAGCTATCTGTCACAGGTACACTTTAATGATAGTCTATTCTTACCCGTCTTTTAGAAGAGTATCACTAGAGCCAGGGTACTCAAAACTAATGTTATTCTTACTAATCGGAATTTTCCTAAAAGATCTATCGTCACAAATGCCGCTAATTTTTCCAGAATATGAACTTACTTTAGAATTTGTTTGACCTTGCTTTCGCAACTTTGTCATATTGGCAGGAAGACCTAGAGGAACGCACCTTGTATCCATTATAATTTCCAGAGCCGGACTGTGGCTTTGGTATATTTTAAGACGTTTCGCTGACATTGTAGTCGGCATCGTCAATAAGCCTTGCCATTCTCAGCACCACACGATAACTCATTAAAGGCGCAATTGAAGTCGATCCTTTGACCAATTTTGTGTGT